GGCCAGCCCAGTCTATAAGAGCTAGTTCCAGGACAGGCTCTAAAAGCTACAGAGAAACCCTGTCTCAAAAAAAAAAATCGTTTAAGGTATTATTGCCTCTTCATCTTGCTCTTAACCCTCATTCTTTTAAAACACAGGTCCATTTTTAAATCACAAAAATATGTGAAATTCTTAACATTTCCTAATGACTACCTCAAAGCTATGGAATCTACGTGTACTTGGAGAGCCTCTAACACTGGTCCCACCTTTCCTGAAATTTGAATCCTGCCCGGCAACATTTATGAACACACCTGTGACTAATCTTTATTTTGTTCCTATTTTGATCTTGAGACAGGGTTTCACTATGTAGCACAGGCTGCCCTCAAACTGGTGATCCTCCTGCCTCAGACTTTCGCTTATTAGGGTTACAGGAGCATGAGCACACCCGTTATACAATAGGCACGGTTTTAGCCACTGTTACACCAAACACGCCTGATTAGACAGCTACCCATAAGTTATGGTCTACGGTGAAATTCCAACACCAGGGAGCCTGTCATAGGGTAAGAACAGTGTAGCACTGGCTATCCCCCAGACTAGCCAACCCTACAAAAACTGTTTTGTAAAGGGTCTTGAAAATGCATGCTAGGTCTTGGGGGGGTCTGAAGGTCTGGTGGGGGGGGGGGGGGGGTATGATTTCTCAAGGAACTTCTTTGCATTCAAATTATTTGAAAGTGCCTCAAAGGTATTAGGAAGAAGTTCGTTTCTGTTTTGGTGAATTCAGTATTTAGCACCAGTCTGGCTTTCATACAGTAGGAGCCCACTAACTACTGGCTAGTTCAAGGATCCAGTTCCTTGAAGTACAAACCAAATTAAAAAGGAAATAAAAGTACCTCAAGAGAAAGAAGGAAGGAAGGAAGGAAGGAAGGAAGGAAGGAAGGAAGGAAGGAAGGACGAGCAGACGGACAAGGAGTGAAAATGGTACAGCTGGTGATCATTACTGACCTACCTTGCACCAATAAAGGCAGAAAAATATTTTCACCAATAAACAACCTTGAGAAGAAGACTAAACCAGTGCAAACATGACTTTCTATGTCTGTTCCTATGGAAAAGGCAATGCACATTTAGTTAAAGGCACAACGGTTTGAGTGTATTCTTAAATCTTTTCTAAGAAATTTTAATTTTTCATTTAAAAAAAATTTAAGGCAATATAGACTCCTAAACAACCAACCAAGTTCCATGTACTCCAATTGTGGAGTGTTTTAATTTAAATTTTATTTCTTGAGGAAAGAAAAAAGAAGCAGTTCTTCTGCCATCACCACCACTTGTAATCAATACAAGAGTGATGAACTTCCTTTCCTGCTCAAAACAACATATTATTTCTTTGTTGGAAGCCTGTGGACACAAACAGGCTCCTAAACTATCCAGACAGACCATCAATTTAGGTTCAGTTTGAGGATTTTTACTATCAAAAAAAAATTATACTACCATTAGTATCTGTGTGTTGTTTTAAGTTCAACCACTCCATCATCAAGCTAAAAATAATCAAGATTCTTTTTTCTCCGTTTGTCCATTTCTTGCCTGGCATCCGGTTCCTGCTGTCAGAGCTCCGATTATCAATTTGTATTGTAAGATTCATAAATCTTAAAAACTCACAAATTTAGAAAAGAAACAAAAAAGAGCAATACCAACCTGCAATAATGTTCACCGAATAATCTTAGCCAAATCCTACCTTCTAGGCGGCACAATGTATTTTTCCCAGTCTTTGCAATTAAAAACAAAAATTGGTCCAGATGTTATCACACACCCCAAGACAGCTGTTTACAAACACACAACTCAATGCCTTTTTTGTTTTTTGGTATATTCAGAGTTGTATAACCATCACCAAAAACTGAGGTTAGAACATTTTCATCACTCCCTAAAAAACTCCTGTACCCCAGCTTTTCCTCCCCCAGCAACTGGGGATCAATAGCTCTGTCTCTATGGATTGACTGAACATTTCACATAAACAGGATCATAGAAGATTTGGTGTTTCATAACGGACTTCTTTCTCTAGTTGTAGTATTTTAAAGGCCCCTCTATTCAACCCTGGCATATTTCACTGAGCCCTTCTCTTCTAATCCTTTCCACAATTCATACATAAGACCTTTTAAATAAACTTCAAGCCCTGACTTCCCACCGGCCTGTCCCTCCATAAAGTACAGTTGACTTGCTATTTCCCTGCAAAGAAACCTAAACTATAATTTGCTATTTAGGTTCTTTCAAAAGTTCTTATTCTGGGTTCTCCTTCTGGTAGGTGACACTAACTAAGGTCCTTAAACACCAACATTCCCTGGGTACCTCCTTTCCTCTGACAATAGGATGCTACCGTGCCCTCGGCAGAAAGATGACTAAATCCCTTTTAGGAGCTGGCCACAGTAACTCCAAAGTGCGCGGTGCATTTTCAAACAGAAAACAGTCCTAGATTATCTATCCTGGCTGCCACTCGTACCTCCTCAATTCCCTTGTTTAGAATCTCTGCTCAGCATCCTGCTACAAAGCAAACATGTCTGCAAGGCGGCCTTTGCATCAAGAAACTTCCACAGTCCCAAGTGAAAGATGAAAACACCCCACTGCTGTCCCACTTCAAAGACTCACCAATCCCTAACTCGAAGCCTGCCTCTGCTGGGATCCAGGGCCTTCCGTCTGAGTTCCGTGGGTCTACACCTTACAGACGGTGTGCCTATGCTTCATGGACCCCTTCAACTGTAACGGGCAGTCACTGCCTGCCGTGAGTCAGAACTTCAGCAGCCCATAACCAGGACTCCGGGCGCTTTCTAGACATCCATCACATTTTAAGAAAGCCTTGGGATGAGCAGCATTAAAACAACACACATTCAAACATCCTCCCGTTGCCCTTGTTCTGGACAAAGAATATTCTTCCCGGAGACCCAGACTCAACCTGGTTCAGACGTCTGCGTCCTGCCCCGAGAAGCAAGGCCATCGCTGCTACTTCGCATTTCAGAACTTCTACTATTAAATAACAGAAGTAGACAAAGCACACAGAGTTCAATAGGATGCCATAGTAAAATGGACTCGTTTCCTAGTGTCTTCTAAACCATAGTTAGTCCTTAAAGTATGGAAATCCACCCTGCCCCCAAACACCATCTAAAGGACTGAGTAGAAGGGAGCCAGAAGCCTTTCGCCCAATCCAGTGTGCTCAAAGTTTGGAAAACAAAGGACAGGAGAGCCCAGATTTGTGGGGCGGCCCCAGTCTGCGCCTTACTCTAGGCAGTAAACAGCTATAATTCTATAAAGATCTGCTCATGCTCCATCGTAGACGTTACTTAAAAGAGGTTCAGGGGTTTGTTTATAGAAACAGCCTTTGTTAACCACCCCAATGATGGGGCCGCACGCCCCGCGCAGCCTCCATCGCCCCCCCCCTTGCTAACCCAAGGCTTCGTCGTGATTTTTCGAAGTTAATAGGCACCACCTGCATACATTCTGCAACCATTACTCATCCGCACGCCCTCACCTCTCCAGCCCCAGCTCAGAGACTGAATTTAAACTTTTAATCGTGTTCAAATTACTCTACCATCTCAAAAGTACCAGTATGCCACATTGTTTTTCTCGAGAAAAAAACCCTCCTCCTTCTGCCCTCCTCCTGCCACTGTAGAGTTCTCACTCCCAGAGACACCCCCCCATACACACACACACACACACACACACACACGCACGCACTCCTACCCGACACCACCAAAACAAAAGCTATCAGATTGCAAGCGATAGCGAGCGAGGAGCGATACCGCTTATTAAGTATGTACAAAGGAAGTGCGGGGCGGGGGGGGGGGGTTGGCAGTGCAACACAACTCTGGCCACAACAAAACCAAGGCCAGGGCTCCGCGCTCGCAAAACAAAACAACCGCCCCTCCACTACCATGCTCCAGATCCTGACGCCGCCCAAACCACCGCACACGACACCTCTCCCCCGGGCCGGGCGTCCAGGTGTCCCCTCGTGGTCGTGTGGCTGTGGGTGCGCCTAAATCCGCGCCGAGAGCACATGTGTGTGGAAAAGCACGTCGGCTCTGCGCATGGGATGATGCCCCTACCACGTCTTACTTAGACGCTTTTCGGAAGAAGAGGTGTCCAGGGCTGGGTAAAAACTGAGAAAACTGCCCAAGGACCCTAAAAATTGGGGATCCAAGTCCCCCCACCCCCGAAGGAGTATGAAGAAGGTCCCAAGCTCACACTTCCCTAGGGAAAAGTCCCGGAGTACACCCTGAACCCCAGAGCCACACTGGACAGCCCCGAGTCACCAAACTGTAAGGGAAATGGGGACTAGACGCCCACCGGCTCATGAGATGCTTAAGGCCAAGAACTCAAGGAGCTTGATGGGCCAAACAACTTGGGCGACAGGAGGCCGCGCCGTGATGTTTGGAAACGTGTCCTGGGGCCGCGAGGCCTCCCCACCCCGCACCTCCCCCTCAAGGACAACTTGCACCCCGCGGGGCAGAAGGCTCCAGATCGTCACCACGGTGCACTCGGTCTACCCCAGCAGCCACCCGTGGAGCCTCCCAAGGTGCTGTCACCGTGGTGCGCTGAGCGGGATGGGCGCTGGGTGCGGAGAGGCCCGCGCGCAGCGGTGGGGAGAGGCGAAAGTGGCGGGGGAGGAGGTGGGTCGAGTCCCCACCCAGACACCAAGTTCCCTATCAAGTGCCCACGCGTGGGTTGCTCCTGAACCGCCGGGGAACAAGTGCTGCCCACCCACCAGGCCGCGCGCGGGACAGCGCTCTCGGGACAGCGAAAGAGAAAGCTCCGAGGCCCTTCCCGCGCGCGGATGCGCTGAACCAGGGCCGGTGGGGCTCCTGGGCTGGGAGCTCTGGCCCCTCTCCGCTCCGGCCTTCCGGGAGAGCCCCACCCTCCGCTCCCGAGCCCCGGAGTGAGTCCGACAGCTGCGCCCGTGGCAACTGGGTTTTCCCAAACAGGGCGCAGCCCCTCGGAGGAAAAGTTCCCGCAGTGGCCGCGGGCGGCGGGCAGATACTCACTTTCTCCACTCGTCGGCCAGAGCGAGAGCGCGGCGGAGAGAAACACGAGTCCCCACAGCGAGGTCGGGGACCCTCCTCCGGAGCCAGACTTCATTCCTTTTATTTGGGACGAAATTCCCTTTTCTCAAAAAAGAAAAAAAAAAAAAGAAAGAAAAAGAAAAGAGAAAAAAGTCTCCAACTCAGTTCTCACTCTCGTCCAAAAACAAGAGCGCAGCGCAGGCGACGATCCTCGGAAGGCGGCGTGGACGGGGAGGGTGGCGCGGGGCGGCCCCTTAGCGCCGGCAGCAGCGGCCCACGGCGCGGCGGAGTCGGGAAGCCGGGGCGCGCCGGGGCGGGCTGTCGGCGTCGTCGGCCTCCATTTGCAAACCCAGAGATGCAGAAGAGGGGGGAAAAACTGTTACCGAAAGAGGAGCAAAGCCCAAATCGCCGCAGGCGAGGACAAACGCCCCCAGATCCCCGGAGAGAGCGACCGCCCAAGCCTCCGAGGCGGGAGAGCGCGACGCAGTTGGCGAGACTGGTCCGAAGTCCCGGGCGCGGGCGAGGCCGGCGAGGGGCAGATATGCGGAGTGGAAATGAATGAGCGGCTCCCCCTCCTCCGGCTCCTCCTCCTCTTCTGGGCTCCGCTCGCCGCCGCCGCCTCCTCCTCCTCCTCCCTCAGCGCCGCCGCCGCCGCCGCGAGCTCCTTCCCAAATCCAGGACACACACACGCACACACACACGCACACACATACACATACACAAAGCGGCGGCTGTGCAGCGCTCAGCGCTCCCGCCGCCCCGCGTCGGCTCCCGCCCGCCGCCGACTCCGTGCGCGGGGGCTCCGGCTCGCTGAAGGTCAAAGCCAAGCGCGCCGCGCGCCGTGGAGCTCTCGCAGGCGCGGGAGAGGCGTGGAGGGTCCGAGGAGCGGGGCCGAGGGTCTGCGAGCGCCGGGCACGCAGGGACAGGCTCGCAGGCGGCTTCCCTGTCGCTCGCCTCTCCGGAGTTCGCCCGGTGCGCTCGCTCCTCCTAGGTCCTTCCTTCCCCCCCCCCTCCTTTTTTTTTCCGCTCAGCGGAGTTAATGCTGGTAAACAAGAGCCTCAGCCTCACCGCGCCGCCGCCGCCGCCACACACTGGGGGCTCTACGCGCGCGCTCTCGGGGCCGCGCACACGTGCCCGCGCGCACACTCCAAGCAGCCACAGCCGCAGTCCCGGCGCGCCGAGGGCCGGGCCCCGACTCGGCAGGCGCCAAGAGCCGGAGTTCGGGATCGTAGGGACGTGCGGAGCGGAGCGCGGGCGTGGGGAGCCGGGCTAGGGAGGCACCGCCCCCCGCGCCTCCACCCGCGCTGGCCCCGGCGCGCACACTGAGCCACGCGCGCGCCCACGCTTCCGCCCCCACCCGCACTGCGCCGGCCAGCCCAATATGCACCCTCCCCTCCCGCAGGACTCCAAAAAACAATGCCCCGGGCGCCGGTGGGACTCGGTGGCCCGGGAGGCGGCCGGGCGTGCGGGCGAGCGGGCAGGCTGCGGGCGCGGTGGGCGGGGAGTGCGGCCCCGTAGCTTCATTGAAAACAACAACAGCGCGGCTGGAGAGCGCGCCGGCCTGCTCGGTGGAAAAAGCTTCATTGTTTCTTGCAGCTGTTGCAAAATAAATAAATAAGTGCATGCATGCCGCATTTTTTCGCAGCGTGGTGGGAAGCCCGGGCGCGGCGGGAGGGGCACACCTGGGGGAAAGGGGACCCCCGAAGATTGTTACGCAGGGCACTTTCCACGCCAGACTTGGGCGTCCGTGGCGGCACTCCCCGGGTATTCCGGTGCTCGCACGCTGTCGGGGAGAGGACAGGGCGCGGTCCGCGTGGCTCTTCTCGCAGCACGGCGATCCCACCGCGGGCCCCCCAGCCCCGGAAAGGGGACCCAGACAGGCGGCCCCTCATGCCCAGGGCGCGTCTCCGCGACGGCCGCCAGAGGGCGCGGCGGCCGCCCGGGAGGGCTGGCTCGGGGAATGTCGCCTCCCTCCCTCCGGGGGAGGAAATGTGGGGGCCCCGAGTCGGGGATCGGCTCGGCTGGGTCGTGCTGGCCGGGCCTCCCATCCCCTTCTCCCGCCCTGAGGGCGCTCCACCGCACCGCGCTGTTCCGGGCTTCACCACGTGGGCAGCTGCGGAGAGGGACTGCAGCGCGTGTCGGGCTGCGGGAACCCGGAGCTGGGGGGCGTGTCCGAAGGATTCCCAAGGAAGGATTTACGGGCGGGTACCCCAACCCCGGACGCGTTGTCTGGCTTGGTTCCCGACCTAAGATCGTGTGGCATTCACCCTGGTTCGGTGGCCACTGCAGAAACCCACCCGCACCTGCCACAAATCCCCCTCCCCTCCGCGTCCCCCTAGCTTCACTTGATCCGTAAGTAACTAGAAACTAGCACCAGCCCAAGTCTCCTCCGTGATTTTCGCGAATGTGCCAGAGGAGAGGTTTCCCCAAGACGAGGCTTCCCCGGGACTGCCATCTAACGAACAAACACTGCGGAGGCCAGGTCTCAAAGGGGGGAGAAACCAGCAATGGCTGGAGAGAAGAGTTTGAAATACGTGGACTTTTAAAAATAGTGATTGAATCACGTGTCGCCCTTAATGCGGTCGGGCTTCATGACTCAGGCTAATTGATATCCACAATAAATAAAAAGATGGCTCATAAGTCTTGTGAATGTCTGGATCAAATAGAAGTGTTTTTCTCGTAAACAGTCGGACTGTCTGGTTGGTGGAGAGGAGCCGTTCTGTAGCAAAGAAAGGTTTCTTTCATTTACTCGAATAGTAAAAGATTTCGGCTTTACACTTATGCATCCCATCTTTCATAGAGGATTTTTATTAAATTTAGAGCTGAAGACAAATCAAAAGCTACCGTAGAGGGAACTAAGCCCATGTTTTTTTCTGTATCGCCTGAATCAGTTTTTCCCTTGGAAATTGTGGGCTATGTTCAGTGAATCAACTGTATAGAAGGGACATTTTAAAAGGAAAGAAAAAAATTACACATGCAGGGCTATTTTCTTTAGCTGAAACTTGCCTTAGTTTTAAAGTAAATTGTTCCAGTTTTAGATATCTCCTGGACGTTAAAAAATAAATATGTTAGAACTTTAATTTATCATGCATCGTTTTAAAATATGAATTCAGTCTTCTAGTTTTAAAGTATTTCTTCAGAGCATTCCCTTGCATTGAAGGGAGTCTTAATACTTCCAGCCTGGTACTCTCAGCAGATAATTCAAGTGCAAAGGAATAACATTAGATTTGATTTCATAATGTTTTGATGCATATTTGTTGAGTAAGCCAAAGTTTAGCAGTGATTCTTAGGTTTGTGAAGCATGAAATCTTTAAATGCAATATGCTTTTAATATTAGTTATTAAAATGTTTGTACATTTGTCCCTGCAAACAGAAGTTTATAGAACAAAGAGAAATAACGGTTATTTGTAGTGGAAGCCTTTAGTTGTTATGTGTTTGTTTTACCAAAAATTACACTTTTACCTGTGAATTTTTGAATGTTTTCCGAATGTATTCAAGGTCAATGAGATGAATGCTTTTAAACAGAGAATCTGAATGCTTAATATTTGGAAGATGAGATGAAACTGACCTTGCTTTTAGGCTCTATCTTAGCATTGAAAAAGATGTTGGTTCTCACTTTTCTTGGTGATTCCCTTCTGCCTACCCAAACTTAACTTTTCTTCGACCCTGGAAATAAAACCCTGTTGTTGTTGTTTCACCCCTATAGGCATGGTGGCTCACATTTTGTTTCACACCATTTTCCCTAAGCATCTTACACATTCTTCCTTTTTGAGCAGAAAGGAGTTTCTTGTTTTCATTAAAAATATTTTTTTTACTTGATAGCAGCCTCAGATCTAATTATTTTGTTCAGTGTAGCAGACTCCCCAAAGATCTAACCTGTAAGCAGTGAACATATGAGACGTAGCCCAGATCATTGTGTTATAGGTAGTGTGGTATGTGGTGATCAGTTTCCAGAATGATCTTAATCCACAGTAAGGGAGTGAACTAAAGTCTTGGCTATCAAGGGCAAGATCTTCCACACAGGATGTGGAGGAAGCCTATTCACGTTCCAAAAAGCCACACAGCATGACACTATTTTGATGAAGCTCTTGAATGCAAAGAAAAAAATGAACTTTTTTTTGAGCAGCAAAATTCAGTATGTGGTTATAGGAATAAATATATCAATTATATAAAAGATGAATGAAGGGTATTTGTTCTCTTGGAGGGAAGAGGAGCATCTCCCAAGCACACACAAAATTCTTGCAAACATAGAAGATTTACAAACCTCCACTTTATGATTATACTTTATGACTAACACATGTTCCAAGAGTTTTTGCATATATTGAATATTAAAGAAAACAAAGTATGTGACAGATTTCAATTTTTTTCCAATATGAATCTTCCAGATTTTAATTAGCTTTGTGACCAATTCAAAAATATTTATTAAGAAAAACCAAAATGATGTAATTAATCTGATACTGAAGAATACATTTCAGAAGAATACATACCCATGCTATATCAATGCCGTAAGACAAAAACAAATATAAAATGAAATGTAAAAATTCACTTTGTAGGACAATTGGCTTTATTAGCAAAATCCATTTTGTGAGAAGCAAACTGGCAGTTTCCAAAAGAGTTGAACACACACCAAACTTAGGCTCTGGCGTTTCTACCCCTATCTTTTGACCAAAAGCAATAAAATAAGTTCACAAAAAAAAAATAACTATATGACCAATGCTGGTAGCCACTTTGTTCATTATATTGAAAGTCTGGAAACCACCCAAATGTATTTGAGAAGGAGAATGGATAAACAAACCATCTAACACAACACTGCCTAGCAATCAAAAGGAGCTAACTGCTAATCCTTGTGAAAACATGAACAAGTCTCCAGAGCAGAATGTATAAGCCAGACACAAAAGAATACATACTGCATTAGACCACTCAAATGAAATTCAGGAGCAGGCAAAATGGATCTAGGAAACCTAAACCAAATTAGGCTCGCGGTTGCCCTTGGTGGGTAGGGAATGAGGAACTTCAATTCCGAAGAAAAAGAAACGAAGTCCTTGCTGGGGTGATGGCAACTGGTTGACCTAAGGTGGGCTTGTCTATGTACATGCATTCACCAAAACCATCAAGCTGTTCGGTA